CGTTGTAGACTTGGCATCTCACTAAGATGTCGGTCGAGAAGGGGTATGGAGGAGTACGAGTCGGTTGATTCACCAACGGAGGTGACTGGTGGCACACGACCATTAAAGTTTTCGGCCGATAGCCGATACATGCCTTGACCGTCAGTTTCAGGAGGAGCCAGCGGGCGATGGAAGACGTCATCAGTTGCAAGGCGGTTGTCGTGCTCGGAAGTATCAAGACGAGAACTCTGACCGAAGCTCTGCGTTGCACGGTGATGTTGTGCGAAATCAATCGTAGTTCTTTGCGAGGGTATACTTGGCGACTTCTTCTCGTATCGCCCCTCCAACTTCATTAACGCTGACTCGACTCCACCTTCATCGTCGGTATCATCGGGCAGGGCAGCAAGTTTTGCTACTTCGGCCTCAAAAGACGGCCTGAGGTTGGGTTGGGATGAGTGTGTATCTACTAAGGAGATTGGCTTTCTTGGAGTTTCCGCTTCGGGTGGTCCCTGAACCTCATGAGACAATTCAGGGTCTGAATCGATAAAACGGTCAGCGCGTAGGATGACAGAATTAGTGATTGAGTGTGTGTGATTTGACACGGAGCCGGTAGAGTACGGTCGCTGTACCTGTTCGAGATCGTGCACATTGTCCGCAGCACGGAGGTCGCCACCTGGTCGTCGGCGAAGCTGTCGTGTTGGTACAGCTGCTTCGACTGTCGGCTGACGATCAAGAAAGAAGGGATCGTTATCAGATGACATGGTCTGGAATGTAGCCACACTTGCGGGACCTCGTCGTCTACTCAACACGCTGTTGTAAGAGGCATGGCGCCGAAGAGAGCCTGCACGTGCTAACGAATTCTTGACTGAGCCCTTGCGCCGGAAAGAATGCATCCCTTCTGGACCTGCGGACATGGACCGTCTCTCCCTCGCATTAGACTGTCTAGTAGGAGTACGTGAGCGGCGGTACTCTTCTGTGGCAGTGTGGGGGTCTGGATCATCATAAAGATGAGAGTGTTGTATCGAGTTGGCGTCATCGGCTTGGGATGCATCATTTGATATGCCTCGTTGGTGACTGTCCAGCTTTGCCGTTACCTTGTCGAGTTCAGTGGGCAAGGCGCCTGTAGTGGGTAGAGGTGGCGCCCCGGTATCATCAATGATGACAATCGATTTGCTGCCGCTAGTGATGTTGCTGTGCACGCGAGGGTCTGGTTTACGGTGTGGCTGCTGATGGTCGTTCTGGGTTGGAGTTTCACGTCCATCAAACTCAAATTCGAAACCGTTAAGACTAGGAGCGTCGCCGTTATCGAGGTCTTGCCCCTCGCTTTGCAGTTGCTCTTCTACCGCTCTTCGAAAACTTTCAGCTACTGTAGCTGCTAGAACATCGACACGCATCTGAGGCCGCGGTCGAGTAGTACGTCGTTTCTGTACTCCCCCTGACATCGAGACGGCTGGGGCGGCACCTGGATTCGAGGATCGCCCATAAGGTGGCTGTCGCTGCTGCAAAGATCCGCTCAAATGCGAACCTACGCTCACTTGCTGACGAGTGCTCAGAGCACGTCGTACACTGCCCAAGATTTTCTTCATGCCTGGTGAGTTGGCCTGTCCTTGTCTTTGGAGTTCGCTTACGTCGAGGTCTTCGGACTCATGGAAATGGCGAGATGGCGCGGTTCGTAGAGTTTTGACTTGGAAGTACGGAGTGGTTGGCTGGATGAGCCCGCCGCGCACAAGAGTGCCGGGCATGTTGGCTACAGCAGAAATGGTGTAATCAGCCGGTGCATTTTTAGGTAAGGACAATGGGGCCCTGCTGTCTCTGAGGGCGTCAGAGAAACTGCCGCTACGCTTGTGGGCTCTGGCTGGACGTTGGCTGTTCTTCATAGACACTGGTTGCTGCGGGCTGCCTGCTAAACGAGCCGTGGCAGTAGGAGGAGGATTGACTGCTGGTACAGGGTGTGGATACAGAGGCAGTTCGACATTCTGGTCGTGTTTGTTTACCCCCCGCTTTGGGATTGAGCAGGATAAAACGTGCATGCTCCGCTCACTTGCGGGAGATAGTGGCACCTGAGCACTTTCATTGTCCTGTGATGGTAGAAAGGGAGTGCTCATTGAGTTTTGAGGTGTATGGCGAGATCTTTGCGCCCAGTCCATGTACCGACTAGCAAAGTGATCGCTTGGGTTTGATCCGATCGTCTCCTTGGTGTCGCGTACAGCAGCTCGCGGAGGTGTACTGGGCATGGGCTGGATGACAGGGGGTTCTTCAAACAACATTTGCGATCCCTCGTCGGTACCACCTGGAAGTAATGGATCGTCTGCATAATTGCGGCCCACAGGGTCATTGGTTTCCCAATATAATGCACAAGTACGTCTCCAGCACTTCTTCAGCTCGCCCACAATGTTAATATCTCCTCCGCCTCCGTCTTTGCGGGCACGCAGATCACTGTACAGGCTGTTGACAAGGTCGCAGAAAATGACCCGTAGGCGGTAGAGTGGCATGAAGTCATCGACAAAGTAATTGAGTATCCAGTGACGAAGAGCTACGAATGTGCGCACGCGGACAATGCGACCAAAGTCATCCTGACGGTCGACAGCCCATCGCAACCGGGCAACGAGGTATGCGACTAGATCGCGGGAGCACAGGAAGGCACGGAAGGTAAGAAAGAAATCGGACAGCAACTCGTAATCGAGGAAACTTGGCGAGGTGATGTGAGCGACTAGTCGGGAAGGCGTGGCTGCAAGGATGTCACCCTTAGCATTGAAGCGTACCACGGCCCTGTCGTCGGGGTTCAGGGTAAGCGCGTCGTAAAGGCGGGGACCAATTGGAAAGTGTGATACACGAGCAGAAGATGGGCCTGAGAGGGGAATAGGCGGGCGGTCCATGGTAGCGCGAAAGCGATGGGGTACTGGCGAATAGGCATCTGAACGAGTGCGAGACGACAGGAACGATTGTCTGGCGCTGTGCTGGGTGACGAGGAGGGAATTGGCAAAGTCCTCGGTGCCCGAGGTTCCTGTGTAAATTGAGCTGCGCAAATCGACTGTCCCGCGTGTGCTGAAACGCGGAGTGCCCAAGCGGTAATGCGGAATGGGCACCTGCAGCATGGGGAAAGAGGAAGTGTCGGCCGTCTTGGGCCGAACATGCCCCGGGCGTTCGATGACGACCTTGAAGGTGCCTGGCTCGTTGGTGAGGGAAGCGGGGATATGGTCGTCGGCAATGGAGAAGGAATGGGAGCGCGTGTGTGCGGAGTGGGGGTGGTAAGGGCTGTTGTTTTGGTGGTTGTAGTTGTGGTGGTAATGGTGCGAGTAGTGGGCAGCGACTTCGTCTTCGCTCAGACCTGGTAGCGGTGGTGAGGGCTCCGACTGGGGAGATGAAGAGCCGTAGAAGCCATGGTCGAGGTCATCGCTCAGCGGGCGCAGCGTGTCGCGAGTGGCGCTGTCGGGGGGAGTCTGGGGCGGGAAGACGAAGGCATCTGGTTGCGGGCGGCCTCGCTGGTTGCCAGGGCGCGCCACGGGCCTGTGAATAGAGAGTCAGCGCGATTAGGAGTAAGTAGTAGCAATTGTCGTCGTCGTCGTCATTGTCGCCATTGTGGTTGTGATTAATGTCATGTCACTATGGGCGGTGGTCTGTGTCTGTGGATACTGCGTGTATTACGGGCTGCGTACCTCAGGTAGATGACGCCGTTGTGGACATTGGCCACCGTGTAGGAGCGGCCAGCAGCGGTCGAGTTGCTGGTGGTGGTGTCAATGGTGGCATTGCTGGTGCCGCGCGCCCGTGTCCTGCTCTTGAGTTGTTCGCGCGAGTCCTTGACCCGTCGCAGGCGGCGCGAGTCGTCTGCGCGCCGTTTGGCATTTTCTGAGGCCGCACCGGGGGTGGCAGCAGCAGTGGCGGCGGCGGGCAGGACGTCGCGTTTCGCAGTGTGAACGGGCGAGCACGGTGCAGCGATGTCACTATTGTTCTGAGGCAGGGCGGGTAGGGCCATTGTCCTCCATAGTCGGCCTGGACGCGGCGAGGAGCATGTGTAGAACAAACAAGACGAGGTCAGGAGAAGGCGATGGGCATGGCTGTCGACGGGTGACGCACAGAGGGCAGAGGAAGATGAGTGAATTTGGCCGGACACGACGAGCAATACATGGACGAGCCAGGGCTCTCAGGGCTGACCATTGCCCGGCCAGACGCCAGACGCCATCACACACACCAAAGCGCCCATTCACCATGCAGCGCCCGCCCTCGCCCTCGCCCTCGCTCTCACCCTACCCTGGCCCTGCCTGGCCCTGCCGTTCCTCTCGGATCACTCCGCTGCCCCCGCTGCCCATCCGGACGTAGGTAAGGAAGTAGTGTACATAATCCTCTGCGCGTCCGTGTACATGTACGCATCTACATACATACCTGCTACCCACCCGCTACCGTCTACTACTTGGATACATACATAGGCATGCGTACTATGGCTTCGCCGTGTATACCACGGCCAGGCACTGCGCATACCACGCTTGGCCCGAAGCATACGCCGCTGCATCGCGCCCCCCGTCGCACTCTTTGCTTTTGCGCCTGCTTGCTGCTCTTCCCCCCGTCCGCCTCGCCAGTTGCCAGTGCCAGTGCCAGTCAGGTCGCCGGCGCAGACTAGTCGCCGGCTGGTCGAGGCTATAAACTGGTGCGCTATTACGTCGGGAACCAAGTCGCTCGCCGCGTGGACTGGCAGGTTCATCCCAACCCCCGCCTTGCTTGGACACAACGGCCACCAGCACAGGGCAGCAATTAACTCTCCACTGCCACACCTCGTCCCGCAGAACCATCGACAGCAACACCGGCCGGCGAGTGGGCGTCGTGTTTGTATACACACTTGGCTGCAGTGCTTGCATACGTACACTACACGCCTCCACCTGCCGTTCTCACGTGCGTCGCCGCCGTGACGGGCGATTGGCCGCCCCAGCATCTCGCCAAGCCCTTCATGCTAACAAGCTCGTTACTTATCGCAATCCCTCTGTCTTTGCACACCAACCAAGCCGGCTCATTTCCCCCAAGCGCCATCCATGCCTACTTATCTGCCTGCCTGCCATGCTGAGACGTCGTCACGCCTGCCCCGCTGCCCGTCCGCACAAGCAGGGCTGTCCTCGACTTCAACAAGAAAAAACCCGCTGCCGCAATCTCCTAGACCAGTGAACCGCCCTAGTCAGCACTCCACTCCTCCATCTATCCTGACTCGGCAGCAGCTGTCGATTGCCCTTGTTGCGTCACACTCTCTCCAATACCCTCAAGGGTCGTACCCTGCACCTTCCTCATGCCTCAAAGGCTACTGCACGACATCAACCATGGTACACTTGCTGTCAACACCGCCAGTTCTCAGCCAGTCAGGCCGGAGCATCAATACACACCCACATGCACCTTTACACATGTACACTCTTACCGACACTCCTACTACTACTCCTCCTAACCCAACTAAACTCCAATTACGCCCCAACGCAGGCCTGTCGCCACAAGTTCCCTCATTCTGACTGCGCATAACTACGTAAGTCCACTCGTAATGCTACAAACCATGCGCACACACACCACGGTCAGCTCATACGCACGTACGCTGTGAGACAGACCATGTACTATCTATGGCAACCACACTATGCATTGGGGCTGTGGCCCACGTTGCGCCAGGTAGCCCAACTGGCCTGCCTTGGGCATAAGCTGCAGAACTACTCGAGTTCGCTCCAAAAGGGTCCGGCCCGAATACCAGCCAAACACCCCCTCGCCAAATCAAGTCGACATGCTTCTCCCTCCGGAAACATGGACTTCTTGGCTACCGACGTCGGCGCGGATGACTATCCATTAGTAACTGACTATCCAACCTACTATCCGTCGTCTACCATTGGAATTTGATAACACTACTACCTGCCATGAGACCCTGTTACACACAACGTCGCGGCAAAACGCATGTGCATCGCAAATTACACGGTGGCCCAGATCGGCACTTTAAACTTTATCCCCCTTCCCTTTCTAGAAAGGATACGCACTCTCTGTCTCTTCCTCCCCCTCAACAACGACTCCGCGCTCTATTTGCTCGGCATGCTTTCTGTCCAGGTACTCGAGCAAAACATCGCCATACCTGTCCTTGCCCTTGTACCGGCTGACATCGTCGCCCCAAGACCGGATGGCGCTAGCCAGTCGGCCGGGGACATATGGCTCCTCCGCAAGGCTTGTGATTGGACGCATATAGGTTCGTATGGTAAACACGACACCACCGGATCTTGGTAGTCTGTTCAAAGTTAGACGTGATGCCTTCAAACCTTGAGCCAATCTGCAAAATTGATCAAAGTGAAAGAATAAAAACTAAAATAAAATAAGAAATAACAATCGCAACGTACCGTCTCAAACTTTGTCGTTCGCTCCGGAAGTAGTGATGCTCAATCGCCTTATTCTTCTCCGCCGTAAACCATCCTACCTCTCCCTCGGCAGTAGCATCTTCACTTCCTATACTCTCGCTCCACGCCAGCTTATCATCCACCTGAATAAAGTAGTTGTTGCGTAGCATGGGGCTCTGAGGCTGAATCCGACGGAAAAAGTTGACCATGCCTTTTTCCAGTTTCTCCTTGAACCTAGCATGATGCCGTTAGCACCATCCATCTATACATCCATCCATATTTCACCCCACAAGAACTGAAAGGAAAGAAAGGAAAAGCAACAAACTCACCCCGGCACATCCCCACTCGTATGAATCTCACTCAACCCCATGCCAAACTTATCCCCCAGCCTCCAAAACCCAGGCAGCAAAATCGCCCCAGCAACAAGATAATACTGGCCATCCCCCCTCTCCATCATAATGGCAACATCATCCTGCACCATCCGTGCACAAAGCGTCATCGCATCCTCGCTTTCCCCATTCCTCTCCATCCGGCTCACATCGAATTGCTCCCCTGTCGCTAGATTCCGCATCCCGCTCTCTGTCTTCTCGAACAAACAAGGATACCGCTCAGGCAAGTACGCCACCAACTCCTCAGCGAGCTCGCGCGCCGCATCCACCGCTTCGGGCGCGGTGCGAATGCATTGGGTGCCGCGGGATGCGATGCGTGAGGCTTTGAGCGAGTGGTAGTGCAGGTAGTCCGAATCGAGTTCGATCCAGGTGTCCCAGGGCATGCTGCGGAGGCCCATGGTGATGTTGTATTTGGGGCCGTAGCGGAAGGGGCGGTAGGGGAGTGGGGGGGTGGAGGTTAGGGACCAGTTTGGATAAGGGGAGGCACGGGGGCGGGTGAAGGGGTGGGGGTGCCATACTGGGTCGCGTTAGAATTGTATAATGTGAGGAGGAGAGGTGGGGGAGGGGGGAGTAAAGGTGGTTTAGGTGGGTGAGGTGGGTTTACTTACCTCCGAATGGTCGCTCGGGTGCTCGGAATAGGGATCGCTTTTCGAGATTCGGGGTGCTGGGTTCGTTGGTGTTTGCTTGGTTTCTTCTTGTTGTGTTGCGCACGTGACGGGTGAATGCTAGAGTGAGCCAGATACACGTGACGAAGACGAGGCCAGTGTATAGGATTGCTTTTGGCGATAGTTTTGCATCATCAAATATGTTGTGCAACTCAGTCTTGGCTTTGGAGCAGTGGTGTCGCGCTGTTCGAGCGACGAGTCCGACGTGCTCTCCAAGCCGAGTGCCCAGGTTAGACATGGTGAAAATGCGGGAGTGGAACAATCAGTTCCAAAATTAATAGCTAAAATCAGACGAGATATCAATTGATCTTCGAAATAGTCAGAGAGCAAGTCGGTTCAAATAAGCAAAAATAGAGACAGCACACTACAGATCACGGCGGAATCGTCATGCACGACATGCTGTACAACTTCCTTTTTCTATTATTTACGTTCCGATTCGATACCAGTGCATATCAGGTCTGCTGAGATAAGACTTGTCACAATGTGGGGTTGCCCGCACCACTGTCGTCAGTGTCCATTTATCTACATGCCGGAGCGGGGAAAGCAATACCCTACTCGGTTTAGTGGGGTGGACAGGCATGCACTGCGATAGCAACTCAAGACCTCTTGGGAGCAGGTGATAGGCCTCTCAACATCAAATGCCTTGTGTACATTCGAGCATTGCGCACGTGGCTAGTAAGAATGTTCCATGTCGCGCTCTCGTTACCGTATCCCAAGTAGCTTGGCTCGGATATACCCTCAGAGTATCCGACGGCGTGGTAGTACCGCAATTCCCCCGACAGTCAGATAGCTATCTCTTTGCTCGCCATTGAATTGCCTCTATTTCTTACGTCGTAATAGACAATATTCGCCCCATTTCCGCTGGAACTTTGCGGGTATAAAGGGCAGATCCGGAATCCAGAGCGTGCGACTGACAAAACTCGTCTCACTTGCATCAAGAAATGGTATGCATTTCAGGGTTTCCCATTGTTCCGTATCGGAAATATAGTCAGGTTCAAGCTTTGTTGGTGGCATTCCCGGAAATCGCGAGTCAACCAGGAAGTCGCAGTGTTGAATATCAATCTACGTTACGGTTAGTAGGTCCATTGGGATGGAACTTCACTGGCTACTCACATATTTCCCGGGATCTTCGCGGTTTTCGTCATTCATTCCCATTGGTACCATCCATGTGCCGGGGAACAATTCTGATCCCATCTCGCCCTCGCTGAACTCACCAGGCAGGAGTCCGGAAAACTCGCTCTTGATGAACTTGGCACGAACACCTGATGGTAAATGGAACGAGGATGGAAAGCGGTACCACTCCTTACCCAAGCAAACCATGTCTTCTGGCATGCCTTCGATGCGGTCAAACTTGGGGTCAAACAATGGTTTGTAGACGTTCAGTGGCGCTGAATAAGCCGTGATGTGACCTGATTAGGAAATTAATTAGTAATATTTCAAGACGTGGTAGACACCATTCCAAGAGTAACAATCAGGTTGTCTGAAGCTGGAGGCAGGTAGAGTAACAGATGCAACATACCAACAGTGCGGAGCATGCCCACATTGAACGACAGAAGCAGTGGGATGCAAACGATCGTGAGCTTCACCATGGGAGGAATACGACTGACTAGGTGTCGTGGATCCATGGAGCCAAAATTGGCCAGGAATATGTGCAACGATAGTGCGGCATTCCAGGCTAGCGCTGGGTATGCTGGGTACATGAACCGTTCCTCTTTGTGAGGCTGGACAGTGAATATTGCCAGCCATAGATAGAAAGGACTGACAAAAACCACGGATCGCCTTAGTGTATGTTGAGAGACAGATTTCTCAAACACGAGGTACTGGATAAGAAGCAATGGCAGCGCAGCCAGGGCAAGGAAGAACCAAATGTTGAAGTTCAAAGCCAAGTTACGTATGTAGAAATGCCATGGCTCTACTCCGTAAATGTCAGGACCTCTGCTGCCACCACTGAAGACGTTGTACAGGACAATGTTCAACGGCACGCATACTGGCTCTCTATAGAAGAATGAGTCGATGCCTGCTTGCAAGGCGAGAATGGCCAAAGCACTCAATCCGCCTTGGAATATCAAACGTTGCAGACTTTGCAGAATTGTGCCTGTGACGAAGCTCACAATTACATCTTCGAGGATGAACGGTAAGGCAAGGGCGCCTGCAAAGGGCCATCCAAGAGCGCTGCCAATAGCAAACCACGTAATTCCACGAGCAGTCTTGATCGAGCCACCATACCAGTCCATGAAAGACGCGAAACCAAGCATGGCAAAGTACATGGCAAAACTGGACGGCAGATATGCAGGAGCAGCATGATACATGCCTGGGCTAACGGTCATGATGATCATGAAGAAGATGGCTATGCGCTCCTGGAATGTTTTCCGGATAGCGGAATACATACGAGCCTGGCATAGAGCGCAGAAGAGGGCCAGAACAACGCGCAGGAAGTAGAACTCGATGACCTTTGATTCTTGGATGCCAAGGAATTGCAAAGGCCACGTGCCGGCCCAGATGATGAGTGAATGGATGGCGGTGTAGGTCCAGCTTCGGATGGCGTACTCTGGGGAGTATTCCCATGTCTGGAGACCATAACCATGATTGAGGTAGTGGCTGGGTTCCCAGTAGTTGAAGACCTCGTCACAGTCTTGAATGGGCGAGAAGGCGGCAGCGGCTAGATTGGCCACGGCAAAGACGCAGAAGGCGCCGAAAGCAGTGAGTGAAGGGGGTCTTGTGGGTAGGTCAGTGGATGCATGTCAGCAGGAATGGGTGCCCCCTGAGCCGTGGTGTCTAGACGTACCTGGCCGCTTGCGGGGGCGCCGCCTTAGGGCGTGTGGCAGACATGGCGGTGAGGCAATGGCAGCAACTGTCTCCGTCGACTCTGAGCAACAATAACGGCAAGATGTCCAGGGCGGTGCATGAACGAGATCGCCCGTTCCGCGTTCACCCGCGTCATAGGGCTGAGGTCGTGCCTGCCCGCCAAGCATACTAGCGCGCATCGAAAAAGGCGACGTTCTCCCTGGATCCGCTCTCCTGTCCCAGAACAATCACCGCACGCAATAAAGGCAAACGGGTGCAGACAACGCAGTTGATATACCGCAGTGATCACGCGCGCTTCAGAGAAGACTGCAGAGAGAGACACTCGAACATGTCCGACTCTCTGGAACCGCCGGCCAAAAGGGCGCGGTTGGAGGCGGACGCTCCCACACAGTATGGCACTTCAGCATCCTCTGCATCTGCGCTGGACGCGCCTGGCTCGCCTGTCGATGACATGGACGACGATTTTTACGACACTACGCCAGTCAAACCTTCTGCGCTGCCTACCGCTGTGGACGGGACGACAGCGTCCTCGTTTGCAGCGGTTGCACCCGCGCCAGCCTTTCACCTTCCAGGACTCGGCTCTACGAGCGAGGCCCCGGTTGCGCAACCGCAACCGCAACCACACGACGGCGCGGCAGCCCAAGATGAGCCAGAAGACGGCGAGTTTTCGGATGGGGAGGCCTTTTACGATGATGCCAACGCGAACGCGCAGACCGGCATCCCAGTCGAGCCGTCTGCAGCCAATCAAGCGCAGGCCCAGCATGATGCTCCACAGCAAGGCATGCCGTCGCCCTCTGAGCTGCCTGGTGCAAACTTGACGTCTGCCCAAGATGCTGCCGCTGCAGCAGATACCCCCGCCGCCGACACCGACGGCGAGCTCGACGCGGCACTTACTGCAGCCATAGACCAACAAAACGAGACTGAAGATGCTTCACCTGAAGGCGCTACATTCGACAGCAAAGCCGAGTTCTTGCGCGCGGCGGAAGCAAACAGGGGTGACCAGAATGCTGAATGGCAGCTGGACTCGGACGCCTCAGACTCGGATTCAGACTCTTCCTCCGACTCGAGCTCTGATGACAGCTCAGATGAGGGCGAGCTGCTGGATCCAGAGGAGCAGGTGCGCCTCCTTATGGCTGAAGTCGCAGACGATGCAGGCGCCTCGGGCCCCGTGAAGGTCAAGACGCTCAATGAGATGGATGAGAAATTCGAAAAGCCCGACATCACTGTTACAGAAGACACTAAAATCACAGAACTCGGCAAGGTTGAATCAATTGTTGGAAATCTGGTGGTTGTAAAGGCCAAGATGGCTGGAGATGAGCAAGTGCTTGAATCTGGCTCGGCGCTCTGTCTGCAGAACCGTACTGTGGTCGGCAAGGTGTCTGAGCAAATTGGCCGTGTTGAAGAACCTCGCTATTCATTTGGCTTCAATGATGCAGTTGAACTTACAACTTTAGGTATCGAGAAGGACACGCCCATTTACTATGTTGACGAACACTCAACCTTCGCCGAGACTGAGCCCATCCGCCGGCAAAAGCATACTGATGCATCAAACCTTCACGATGAAGAGACCAACGAAGTCGAGTTTTCGGACGACGAGAAGGAGGCTGAATACAAGCGCGAGCAGAAAGCCAAGAAGCGAGCCAGAGCGGACACCAACGAGGAGCAGGCTCCTGTGAACATACCCACTGGCCCGAGACTACATGTCGATGCTCCAGCACCGCCTATCTACCGACCCATGGAGTACCAAGGTGGTGGGCTTAAATACAGTGATGATGAAGATGAGGATTTGGGCATGTACAAACCGCTTGCCCGACCAGACCACTTTGAACAAATTGTTGGTCAGGGTGCGCCGTTGGAAGATCGTAGCCATGTGCGAAGAGGCATGGGTCGCGGCAGGGGTCCATGGGGCGATCGAGGTCGTGGATTCCGTGGCCGGGGAGGCGCTGGCGGACGCGGTGACTTTGGTGGTGCTCGCGGCGACCGAGGAGGATACGGTGGCGGCAATGGCGGACGTGGTGATTTTGGAGGAGGTCGTGGTGATCGTGCAGGACAACGGGGCGACCGCGGGGCTCAGGGCAACAATCGAGGCGACAAAGGAGGGGGTGAAAAGGGCGGACGCGCGGGCAAGAATCAGTCTGACCGCGGCAAGCAACAGGAGCAGTTTCAACAGAACAACCAGCAGCAGAGGAATGGGCCCTACCAAGACAACCGATCTGCTGCCTCTGCATCTCCGGCACGCCAGCAACAGGACCGTAGCCAGTCGTATCCTCAGCAACCCCCTTCGCAGCAATCCCCCTCTGGAGGTGGCGGCAAAAACAAGAACCGCAAGCAGCGACAACGTGAGAAGAGGGAGCGAGAACGCCAACAGCAGCAACAACAGCAACAGCAACAGCAGCAGCAGCAGCAACAATCGCAAAAGCAGCAACAACAGAA